AAATCAAAAAAATTTTTTTATTAAATTGGCTAAGCCACAATGTCGATCATCCAAATTCGGGTTTGTCCACCATGCTAACAAAAAGTAGATATTATTAATCTCAACCGATTGTAATCGGTTGACATAAAATAATTCGGTTCGGTTAACCGATTGCGATTTTTTTCTCGGTTCAAAATCACTAAACAAAATTATCCAGGGCAGTTCCGTGAAATAGCTTATAACGCAGCAGCCAAGGTTAATAGTATATATATTGCAGTATTGGATTACAATCACTATAAAAAAAAAAGATCATGCTAGCAAGTTACTAATATACAGTTGGAAGAGAGCTACTAACTAATTGATGTAGCCTGCCATTTTACGAGCTCTAATGTTATATATTCTTATATATGTGTAATAAAATCTATCCTATTTATAACTTAACAATAGTGCAACAGCGTAAGCGATGGGTTACATACTAGTTATAATAAAAAAATCCTGTATATAGATGTGTATATATATATGTATATATAATATATATAGCAACTATACGTATAAAGTTTTCAAAATCACAATTGTTCATTTCACAAGACTTTTTAATTAACACGAAGGAAATTATATTTCCGCAATTCACTAAACAAGTGGGATGTCGTTCATGCTCATGCATACAATAACCGAATATTATTCAATAGAAAATTATTCTTTAAAAATTTAGCATCCTCCCTGAAATATCACAACTATACTATAATGCAACTAAATGCTTAAAAGTAAAAGATTCTAGCATACAAGAAAACCGTGAATGTTGCGAAATTGAATGTGAATTCATTATCTTAAAATGTAATGATATAAAATCAGTAACGATAAGTTTAGTGTACACGTTAATTTGTGACTATTCGATAGAGACTCTGCTTTTATAGAGCTCTGCACTTTACATCCTAAACAATTCAAGTACAAAGGTGTTAAATAATGTTATTGGTATGGCTTCTCATCTGGCTTATTGTCGCTGATACTAAAATAACTATAGATTATATCAATATCGCATGCTATATAGCATTTGTTAAAAAAAAAAAAAAAAAAAGAAAATATATTGACTTTATTTATTAACTTGCGGCCCCTCAACAGTAGTTTGAGGCAATGAAGAAACGTTTTGTTGCAGAGTTTGTTGACTGGATGTGTCAAATCTTTCTTGTGGTCGTCCGGATGGGGTGCCACTCACTGGTTGACTAAGAACGCTTGTATCTTGTTTTGAGGGAACCTGAATGTCATCGAGTTTTAAAACTTGCGCTAGTTTTTCTGCGGCTTCTTCAACCTTCGCTGCTGGACCTGTGGGCGAAACGCTACCGAAAACACTCATCTCATAATCTGCACGTTGTTGTGCTTCTTCCTGCAAAATATATCAGGGGGTTGATAACCAAGAACATTAAAAAAAAAACGATTAAAAATGTACGAATGTACCCTCAGCTCTTCTGCCAATTTATGCTCATCGACAGGACGACCCGTGCGGGAAACCATGCCTTGAACCGTCAATGATGGAACACCAATTTCTTCACTAAAAAAAAATTCGTTATTAGGTTTACTTCTACATTAACAAAAAACCTAAACAGTAAATAGATACTAACCTTACAGCGGTGGCATATTTACCCATAGCCGATTCTTGAAAAAATAAAATTATTAAAGAAATGTATACATACTAAGTAAATAAAGGTTAAGAATGATAACTTACGAGCAACCGATGTAGTACTTCCACGAGGAACACCGGCCACCGTCCCTTCACGCTTAGCATGCTCCGCAGCAGCATCCTTCAATTGGGCAAGGTGTTCCAATTCCTTACTATGTGCAACACCTTCACGAAGTAGCTCACCTTCTTCAGAAATAGAAGTAGTAATTATTGCCCTTGAACGGTTATTATTCGCAACTATAGGTTGTCGATATTGGGCAGTGGGCGAAATTTCTTCACCTTTATCAATTTTTACCACGTGTTCGAGTTTTTCAGCGGCTTCGGCGACTTTATTTGCAGGTCCAACTACAGGAACACGTCCCATGTGTGTCACTTCGTATATGCGTCGTTTCTCTGCTTCCTCCTATTAAATCAAACTAAGTTAATAAATCATTTACATAACGATAATAACATACAAATATAGACGTAACACAAATGCAAACCTTAAGTTCTTGAACTAATTCATCTTCACTGATCGTGTTTGCGGGCGCAACCATACCCTGCACCGATAACGGTGGGATGCCAGTTTCTTCACTAAGCAATCATTTAAATGGAAATTATTTTGATTATTTTCGGTTGTATACATATATCCACATATAATTTATTAATTGCTTGATAGTATACCTAATAGCGGTCGCGTATTTACCCAGCGCAGATTCTAATAAAGAATTAAAAAATAAAATAAAAATAAAAATAAAAATAAAAATAAAAAATGTGACAAAGAATACATACGAGCTAGACTGGCAGCACTGCCTTTAGGAATTCCGTAAGCACCTAAAGACTCTTGACGAGCATGCTCGGATGCGACCTCCTTTAATTGAGCAAGATGTTCGAGTTCTTTACTTTGTGGTATTCCTTCATGAAGAACCTCGCCTTCTGGAGAAACTTCAAATAATCCGGGACCACCTGACGTAAAACCACGACCACGACCTCGGCCGCGACCGAAGCATGGAGCTTGTGGTGCAGAAATGCCACATACACCAGTGGGTTGTTGAGTAACATTTGTGCAAACAGTTGGTTGTTGAGCTGTTAATGGAACAATTGGTTGTTGGGCTGCTAACGGAACTATTGGTTGTTGGGCTGTTAACGGAACTGTTGGTTGTAATGGGACTGTTGGTTGTAATGGGACTGTTGGTTGTAATAGGACTGTTGGTTGTAATGGGACTGTTGGTTGTTGAGCTGTTGATAGAGTTTCTGGTTGTTGAGCTGTTGAAAGAACGGTCGGTTGCTGAGACGCGGAACGAGTTGCAGTGTTAGAAGGATTCATCGTTGTTAATTTCAAGAAATTCTCAAAAATTAAAAGCGGTAAAAGTTTGGTGTAAAAATCTTTTATTTAAATAGCCGCTCATTTATATATGATTATTAACATTAATTATATCATTATTTGACAATGGATTGAATCAGCATGGGAAATGCAGTCATATCGTAAGATATGGTTTCTGAAAAAAAAAAAAAAACTCAGAGAAAACATGTCGTAATTATATTTATAACGTAATTATTTGTTAAGGATAAAAAATTTGGTATAAAAAAATATTAGTACAATGGGTAAGGCCATGTATCCACGTGGTAATTGGATTCTGATAAGTTTGCATTTGGCACGAATGTTATAAACAATCTAATCATTAAAGGTTGAATTGATCTTTGATTCTAGCCGAACCGAACTGATAAAGATTTAACTATGCATGTCGAGGTTTTAACCAAGAAAGTGAGTGCTGCTAAGAGAAAATCCCAAGTACAATTTTAAATTTTCATTGTACCAGATTTAATTAAATGTTCTAATAATCTCGATAATATTTTGAACGTATTTATGTGCTCAAATTACTAGAACACTGATTAAATTAAGTAATATCAAATTCTTTAAAAGTACGGCACAGTGAAAATTTAAATTTGCCTCTCGACCACGTTCAAAGAAAATGGACGATACGGATTAAAAATTACGGATACTATAATTCTCTTATATTCTCAAGGCTTAAAATTGTCGGGAATTACGGTATAAATTCTATCTAATTGCATGGTATGGTTTAATATTTTATTACTATTCTTGAGAAAGGTACATTTATAGTGTTATACGTATTAGACATCATTAGTGCGATTTAATAATTTAAAAAAATAAACTAATACGTAATCAAGTTTTGGTATGCTCATAGGAGGATCTCTTGTATAGGCGATTTTTAATAAAAATGTAAATATGGGTCATCTAGATTGTAAGTATTGTAATACGTATGTATAAGGTTAGTGTGGGTATTATGGTGATAACATTTCTTACTAATACTTTTTTTGATAATTTTAAATTTATGTAAATTTTAACTTGCTTAACAATCATGATGTGAAAAAAATCGTGCCTCATATAAATCATGCGATATTACTTGAATGGCTAGGATTTTAATTTTGTGAAGGTAAAATGGCGAACATACGTAAATCGACGATTTCTTTTTTATAAATACGCATCTATTTCTTTCATGTGACTTACTTTGGCGATTTTTCTTTAGTTAAAAATCGGGTTACACTTAAAATAGGATTTAATCGAACTTTACTCACAAAGTTCGAAATATCATTTACTTGCCCTCAAATTTTGGCGCAGAAAATTAATTTCTGCGCCAAAGCTTATAAACAGAAAAGGCCTAATAAAAGGTTATCCGTATTGTGCCAACATTGAGGATAAGTAAAATCTGACATTTCGAACAACTCTACTTAGTGAATGGAGTTCGATTTACTTAATAAAAAATCTGTCTCCTTGTAATATGTTTAATTCGCCAGTTTACCCGCACTCACCTCACATTTTCCTTTTAAAATAATAATAACGATAATAATGATGATAATTTAATTTTTATATTGATTCCGCTTGATTCGTCGAGCCACAAAACCCATAGTGGGCATAGATTAATGGGCACAAATTCGCTTGTTCTATGTCGATCTAGATTGAACGCAAATGACGTGCTGGTAGGGGGTCAATTATCGGTTATAATCAAATCTCCTAAATTTTGAACTGATTTTTTAAACCGTTTAGAATTATACTATGTATCTAAGCAAAAGCAAGATACCTTCAAAATTTAGAATTTTAAAATTTGTCATCGGTTACAGGCCGGTTATAACCACTCTGTAACTGATAATTAATTTGAAAATTCTGGATTTCAGAGAAAGTATCTTGCTTTTTGCTTGTAAGATAGTACTAGCAAAATTTAATTGTAAACAACTTTAATTATTGTCAGGGATGATGCTGAAACGTGGGGGTCTCAATTCAGAAATATAAACCCTACTAAAATCCACCTATACTTTCTTATTAAAACACTAGCCCTAAACCCTAACTTAACTACAAAAAAAAACAACCAAAAAAAAACATCCCCAAAAATTTTAAAATTTCATATTAAAATTAAGTCAATGTTTCAGCATCATCTTGTTTCAACATCATCCCCGACAATATTAATAGCTCAAAAAGAAAAATTATGTCAAAATTTAGAAAATTAATTATGAATGATTATAATCGACACCATCCCTACGTGCTGGTTTGTTTAACATTCCGATGGGATCAGAAATTGGTTGAAGAATATTACTGATTTCCGATCATAACATAAAAGAGATCAAAGTTGGAACATTAAGAAACCTCCAATATTAGGATTAACATCAAATTAAGCGGATCCTATTCAACTTAATATTAAAAGGAAGCTAGGAGACACTCAATCAGAGAACGTAAATTTTAATATTTCGGATCAGATCAATATAAAAACGAATGTACAAGTGAAAAAGATAAAAATACTCAAAGCAATGTCTAAATCGATCTCGGGCACTAATTAAAAGTGACAAAAATCATTAAAAAAGATACTTTCTTCAAGTAGCATAATTAGAGTAGGAAAGCAACTTAATCCATTACATAGTATAGCATCGGACTTCTTTACAACGGAAACATGCAAAAAAAATTAACATAATGCATACATTTCTGATCTTTGATCTCCTCGAGTCAGAAAAAAAAGTTATTGATATGTTACTCTTGAAGTATTATAAAGTCAACCGTTCATACTAACAGCCAAATAATAACCGGACAACAAGCTTTTAACGGAATCTCTTTTGATGATAAGCTTACTGTAAATATTTGCCAGGATTATAACCAAGATTCGCATTTGGAATTCTAGTGTGTTTTGTCCAATGTGTTATGTCGCCAACGATATCATTCCAAAACCAAATATCGACTTGATGTGATTGCAAATTTAGATTATGCGTTCGATATCAGAAACCTTTTTGATAAAAATTTCAACTGCAAGTGATATTTAAATTTCAACTATAAAAGTGATATTTTTAACAATTGCCATCAAGTTCATAACACTAACGATGAGTAACACCTAGTGTTATCAACGACTTTCTCTATCATACACTTATAGTTCGGTATCGGCAATATCTTCCCTTTACATCTCTTTATAAATAACGATAAAACCTAAATCTAATACAATGCAATAACATTAAAAACTTTACATTAATATAGCTATAACTTTAAACGTATAAAAAAAATTTTAGATAACGTAATTTAAAACAATTTAAGCATAATTTTTTTTTTTTTTTTTTTTTTTTTTTAGGCCAGAGGAAACCTTCAAAAGGCGAATAGAGGGTATTACCCCCCTAGACAGTGTGAGATTTTTACTCACTAAAACCTCTGGTGTAAATGTTTTTATTCCTATAACCTGGCTTATAGAAGAAAACATTTACAAAACTAAAATAACCCTAACAAGTTTCGCTATAAAATAAAAAGTTAAAACCAAAACGAATACTTACACACTTGTTAGAGTTAAAAGGGGCCCGCCAGGAGGAATGTGACTGGTATTTTACTCGACACGAGCAAGATCAGAAGATAAAAATACTTACCTATTGAAAGAAACCCAAATTGGGAATCTTTCAGAAACGAAAAGGTAAAATGGGCATAGCGACTGAACACAAGCGTATACAGATTGAAACACCTATCTTAAAAAATATTCGCATATTCGTATATTCAAGAAAACGTCGAGATGCAAACGTACGAACGAACGTGCATATAACGAGTAAAGTGTATAAACTATCTGTAAAACATAAGAAAAAGTATGAGAAATATTAAGGGGTTATATAAAAAACATTTTTCTCGAAGCCTATTTTGGACTCGTTTTTGACCAAAAAAGGAAACGTAACGTAAAGATTTTTTTGTTCGAAAAATAACGCGTTTCATATGTAAAATTACATTTCCGTCATTTTTAAATGTTACAGGGCAATATAAACATCGTATTCTTATAGTTTTCACTTTTCTTTCTTTTTTTTCCTTTTCACACGCGACTGATTGGCTATCGCATGAATATCGGAATTATGTTCGGAGCGTACGTAATGGACGGGGGCATGGGAAATTGAGTATTATGTATGTGATGATAGAAATATAAGGTTAAGGTGTTAACTTGGGGGGATATAGGAATAAAGTAGACTTTTATATGTAAAGCTAGTACATACCCGTCGCTTCGCTGACGGACAAATTTTAAATCATAAAATGATATATTGTAATTGAATAAAAATGTGAGTAAATTTATTAAAGATAAAACGGTTGAAGCATGTGATGCATAACTCTAATAAAGAATTTCATGCAATAGTATAAGAAGATTTTTTGCTCCGTAAATTATGTTATCTATTTATTATTATCTATCTTTCATGTTTACGATAAGTAAACAGATAGAAAAGATAGCTAAGTAGGGATACGCCATCAGACCAAGATACCAGGTAAAACCGGTACTCTGATTTGTCCAGTTTGACCAAATCAGCTAGGTAAATAAACTAATGGTATATGAGAAGGCACGTGCATTCAGATAAGTACGTACCTCCTTTTTCAAACTTTATGAATTACATACGTACTAACAATAGAGATTGAATATAAATAATCGACACAGGAAGGCAACATGCTAAATGCGGGAGCGAGATCTGCAGCCAAGCCCTTCTACCCAGCAGAATACT